TTGAGCTACGGTAAAACTGAATACATGAAAGTCGGCAGAAAAGAGAGAAAAGGAAAATCACCATAAAAGGGCATACCCTCAAGCAAACGACCGGCTTTGGCTACCTGGGCAGTAAGCTGTCATCTAACAACCTCATTGACGAGGGAATTGACAACAGGATTGCAAAGTTTACTAGAAACTTATGCTCACTGTACCCTCTCCTAAAGGAAAAAAGTATCCCTAAAGACGTTAAGATCTGCATCTACACTACTATATTACGACCAGTTTTATTATACGGTAGTGAAACCTGGACTCTCTCTCAGAGACTCAAAAGCAAAATTCAAGCTACGGAAATGAGAGTACTGCGCCTAATCTACGGAGTTACCTTAAGGGACAAAGTGAGAAATGATATAATAAGGAGCTCTTTCTCAGTGGAGTCCATTCTGAACATCATAGAAAGAAACCAGCTGAGATGGTTTGGGCACGTACTGAGAATGCCAGAGGGTAGGGATACAAAAAGGATATACAACTGGAAACCAAAGAAGAGAAGACCACCTGGCAGGCCAAGAAAGAGGTGGGAAGATCAGATCAGAGAGATCACACAGAGAGAGCAGAGGGACTTCGAGGAAGTGAAGAATCTGACTCAAGACAGGGTAGCATGGAGGAACCTGACCCAGAGGCTGACAACTGACAGACCAGAAGGTCTACAGGCGTCCGGGTGAGCAGGTGAGGTGAGCAGAGCAGTTAAATGATGTGAACCTGGATAGAAAATACGCATCAGTTAACGTTATTTATTAAGAAACAGTTTAATTTAGTCCTCTAACGTTACACTATTTTGTAACTGTAAGTTAGAATTGAGTTTGTGCCCCCCTCCCACTCAGCTTTGTACCCTGAAACCAAGGAACTAATCATTCTTCCACATTATAGAAAATTCTGTCACTAAGTTAGTAACGTTACCTCAATGTTACCTTCACCAAGCCCGGTGCTGTCTTGTCCCTGCATCCAGCTGCTGGCCCCGGAATACCAATATCTAACGGTTTACAAACACCGAGAAGTTCACCGAAGACACTAGGACGAAATGCTGTTGTTGAAATCAACACAACAACGCATGGCATGCATGGTACAGTTTTTCTCGCGGTCTAAAAGCGCCACCTAGTAATTAATATGCGAAATGCACCCCATTGAACTTAGCATTGGTGCTGTTTAACTAGTACGGTTCAAATACACGTTCTTGATATAATGTCCGTAATTGTATGAGAAGGTTCCTAGTGAGTTTGACTGACTTTCTACATCGTTTTTTCCGTTCAATAAGAGCATCTCGGGGCACGCAAAGGCCTAGGGGCGCCTTCCAGTGGCCATTTTACTAAGTGTAGAATTAAACCCAGGGCAACGTCGCAGCAAATAATTCACACTGTTCCGTGTTTTTGCTTCATTTCGTTCCTGTACGTTCACTTATGTAAGGGGTGTGGTCAAGGTCAACGCTAAAGACATAGTAGCTTAGTGACCTCGGTCTCGATGGGTGACCCTTACTAGTTCGTAAGATGGCCGCCGATGTTGTAGATGTACGTACCCGGAACAAATGACACAGGAGCCAGAGCTACATAGTGACGTGACTGTATTCTCTTCTCTCTCAAACGGGAACTCTGCTGAACTGTTCTCAGACTACAAGAGTACTCGGGCTTTTATATAGTTTGCCCGCCTACACACAGGTTTCTTGGAACAAGTTGGATTCTTTGTATATCAGTCATCGTGAGTCATATCCTCTCCCTTTCTTAAGACGTTACTGGTCAGCCCCTTGTATCCCCAAATATGGTTATGGTCAAGCAGTCGGGCTTAGACCCCATGGGAGGTTAGGCCATTACTGGTGTCACTCAAAGGTCGCCTACACTTTCTCAGAAGACAGGAGGGTTACAATGACTCACGGTTGCACCAGGAATTTGTACAAAAGTGTAACAGAAACTAATATTATATATATAGCAAAAACTATAACATATCAGGTCAGAGCACCCTATTACACTTACAATGATTACGAGAATATAGAGGACAATGTTAAGCGGCACTCACCTCCTAAAACGGACGTAGCGCGTCTTTCAAGACGAATTTATCCGCCGAGTTCTTCCCTTCCAAACCCACTCGCCATCTTGAAACCGCGTGGTCCTGCCACCTGATATTGGATCACCAGGATTTGCATATTTCGTAATTATCAACTAAGCAAAAAATTAGATTAATCGTAACGAAGTAGACAATCGCCATGCCATGAGGCAAAGTGGCCATTATTTTGTAACAGTTTGCTTTACAAATATTGTTCTTTTACTTATCATTCAACCTCAAGAAAATATTTCTTTCATCTCATCGTTTATTTCAAGGGATCAACATTGAATAAAGACAAGTATGTGAAACGGCCTGAATGCTGTTTCTTATTTTACAATAGTTTTAATAGGTGTACAACAGCTTTCCATGAAATCATTTTACCTGATTGTTGCTACCTTGAAAATTCTCGTTGAATTCTAACTTAATCTCTCATTCTGTTCTTTGAAGTTTGAACATAATTTTCTATCTGTGTAGCGTCACCACACTCGACAAAAAGCATCGTTTTGGATTTATGCGAAATGAAACAAGAGTTCCACGATCTCATACCTTCGGCAAATGATATACTCTTTACGACTGACTATGCAAACAAGGTCCTCTTTGTATTAATTACATCAGTTGATCAACTTTTCGAACCAAATAACAGCTGTCTAACGACAGTTATACATTGAATTGTAAGGATTACCTAAGGATTGTAAACAACAATGTTTAACGTCGTACATGTCAGGGTGATATGCTAAATTAAACTTACAAACTGTGTGAACTTGACTAAATAAGTCTTTTGGCGCCCTTTTGGCAAACTGAATCTAGGTTTGGATAGCGTCTAAGCGATGTCCTGCTGCCCCAGACGTTGGTACCCGTCTGTCCGCTTGGGCCTGGGCGCGCTGCGGTACTCCCGACGTCCTGTCGCTATCAGCATGGCGATCTGCGGACGGCAGAGACAAGAACTTGCGTCAATAATGTACATCAAATAGAGTGGAATACGAAATTTTTTTTAAATCTCAAACTGTCCCTTGAGACTTCTATATGCTCATGGGAAAAAGGAGATTTGTAAAGAAGTTATAGACAAAAACTACTCTCATTTTTTAACATCACAAAACCTGCACATTACAGAAAAGAAGATAGAAACTGGCCAGTTCGTCTAAGTGCTGTCATTGTCCCAAAGCTATGATGCCCTTCTTTTTAAAGAAGGACGCAGCTATTCCAATTTTAAAAGATTATGCTGCTATAGTCTAGTGTTTCAGAAAAATAACGTACCGCCCTCTTGTTCTTGTAGATAACATAGAGAAGTGTTGCTATAAGGAGCCCGCTACAGCCAAGCAGCACGGCGTAGTAATTCATCTGTTCTTCTTTCTTCAACTGGTCCGAGTCAGGAAGGCCTGCCCCCTGGCGGTGGTGGGTGTTATCGCCTTTGTTCTTGTTCCCGGTGTACACAGGGAAGCTGCCGTTCCGTTGCCCTGGCAACGGCGAGCTCTCGTTCGCAATAATAGTTGGCGTGGTGGCCGACTGTAGGGAGGTGGATCTGTTGACTGCACCTGTTGTCCCGTTGTCATTCTTAACCTCAATCTTATCGCCATCTTCAAGAAGACTTGTAGTAGAGAAGCCCCGCGCAGTGGTGGTTGTCCCGTACTCATCCTTGACATCTTCGTAGTCAACAAGTTCAAATATGTCTTCTATGACATCTTGTTTCGTTGTTGACGTTTCGATGCTGTGGTCACCCGGGGTAGTTGTGCCTGTGTTGTTGGACTGAACAAATGTCAGGTTGACCGCTGAGGTGTTGTTGTTGCTGATCGTGCCCGGAAGTGACGTCGCGTTACCTGTCGTCGTGTTGTCTGTCTCCCCGTCGTTGAGTGTCTCATCTTCATTGTCATCGTCGGTGTAGTCGTAGTTGTAGTAGTCATCTTTGTTCCTGAACAGGTCACCTGAGACAAGGATAAACAGAACACTGCTCAAAATCACCCTCACATGAAGATACATGGTCCAGCCTCCAAACGTACGACACCTTAACAGAGATCCGTAGTTTTGCCAGAATAGGTAACTCAAAAAGTCAGATGTTAGATACAAGAAGAGAAAGTTTTCAGTTCAGACTCCACAGAAAAACTTCCTCAAGCTTTAGGTTTAGAGCTTTGCCAAAAGCCAATGACCTTTTCAGGAACTAGGGGTCGTCAGGAAATATCCAAGTCTTCGGAAGAAAGGACATTGACTCTTTACAAATGGGTAAACATACGCTTATCGTTAGAGGAACCTCGAGCTCCCGAAATTGCAGTAACACGTTTGAACGATCCTCTCTTTCCTTATCTTGCCCTATCTATAAATATGAACTGGTACCAACAGGAAAGCCTCCTATTTTACGATTCGTAAACATACCGACAAAATGTTGAGGGTATGCAGTTTTATACACTCAGCTCACATAATGGTGACCGATTTTGTCCTTCCTAACGATAGAAATGTCAGGAGCGCAGAACATTTGAGACGATCCCGTGTGGAGTACGTGGATGTTTTTGGTACAGTAATGGTGAACGTGATTAATTTTTGTTTGATGTTGCTGTTCAAACCCTGATTGGTTTGTCAATGCCATAGTTACTCATGATTAACGGGGACCAACTCCCTGCGACACCTGTGCCTTGAGAGAGCTCAAACGTGCTGGTTGAGCACTGCTTATGTTGACACAACGTTACAGGCTTACACTTCGCCAATTACCAGAATAAAGAAGTAATAAGCAAAGAGTATGTGCATCGGCGACGAGCGTCCCCAACTTTAAAAACATGTTATGAAAGATGAGGCACATAATCAATAGATGATATGCTGACAAGCAGATCATGGATGGGAGAAACACACACGCATGGTTATGAATGTAAACATCTTTACACTGAAGAATACATGTGCTGCCCAGACCTTAACTTCTGGCTTGTTTGTTCAGCAGTTGTACTATGAAACAGCCGATCGATTTGAATCCGGGTCTTTCGCCGGTCTCAAAGCTACATCTAGATTCCTGCACGGATGCCTGAATGACGTTCCGCTGATCTTCGCAAGAGGCTACACCTGTAGTCCAAGCATTATTGTGCTTCGTGATGTTTTTTTTAGATCGGCGTATTTTTCACATGGACCCGACAGCTTGCAACACTCCCTCGATCGAAAGACATATAGCAGACTATAGCATACTAGTCAGAACCCCATCGTCTTGTATACTCAGACGCGCGTCGCAAACTCTCTATAGCCTCATTCGAACGTGATCAAAGTAAAGCCGATCACGACATAACGTACCAGTATTGATCACGATCAAAATCTAGACGTCATTTACATTTCCTGGTACGGGAAGTAGAGAGCGCTTATAGTGTCAGTAAGCAAGATGACAGTTCGTCCTGATTAGTACCTCATAATCACTCACCCCCTACAGGATAAACGTACGGAAGTCTCAGTCATGTAAGCGGGGCCTCTCATTTAAAGGTACGATGCACATTACGGTTCACTCAAACCCCGATATTTGTCAAATTGGTCCGGAAAGAGTACTATAATTAACTATCGGTGCAGGATAATCAGCCCTTTAGATGTGTATAAATGACTCCCTTGACCTAAATAAATATCTCGGTACGTTTGATTTCAGGTCCATCAAAAGACGCCGCGAGATGTGTGGAAAACGTGATGTGTTTCTTTTTTAGCCCACGTTGTAGAAGCATCCATCCATGTAACATTAAAAACGTGCAGATGCGTGTTTTCATTTCATAGCAGTGTTTTGACATGTACATATATATGAGCCCCCGTTCTATATATATCCCGCGTAAAACCAATAAATTTTGAGTCGCAATGCATATGCAAGGCTAAGTTTAGTTGAACGTTTCCACGAATTTTCAGTCCCCAATGTAGCTAGATTTTGTGCGTCAAATTTCGTCACCTCGAAGTTCACTCGAAGTTGAAAGTTTCAGAAAACAGTTGTATTATCACGAAAATTATATAGTTATACTTAATTACCTCCATGAAATGTGTCATGGAGGTTATATTTTCAGTTGCGTTTATCTGTCCGTCCGTCCGTCCGTCCGTCCGTCCGTCCGTCCGTCTGTCTGTTGGTCAACAAGATAACTCAAGAACGCCTGGATGGATTGCTTTCATACTTGGTGTGTTGGTAGGGTGTGACGAAAACTGGAAATGATGAGATTTTGGTCCCCCTAGTGGCTTCCCTTGGTACTGCAGCGCAACTTCCGGTTTTGATATCTCGCGATCTGGACATGCTAGGGTCATGAAATTTGGATGATAAGTAGCTCTCGTGCTTGGGAAGAAGTCACATGAGTTTGGGCCCCCTAGCGGCTTGTTCTGGAACTGCAGGGCACTTTCTGGCGAAATGTTTAAAAGCCAATAAGTCCAGACAGGAACAACATATTTTCATTATTTTTGGTGTGTAGGTAGCTGAGAGAGAGATGTAATAATTAAATGTAAATTATGCAAATGAGGACTTAATTTGCATAATTAATGAGGAAATTCTATAATTACAGTGTTTTACATTATACTACATGTATGTAACCTATGGCAGGCGGAACTTCAACAGATACTAATTATGCAAATGATGACCTAATTTGCATAATTAATGTGAAAATTCTATGATTTCGTAATGGTGAATGATGAGAATGTCATACTTGGGACATCTGTAAGTTAATCAAAAGTTAACATACATCACGATGCATATATCATGTTAATGCAGAGGTCATTTGAACAATTAAAGAAGAAATTTA